GTAAATGCATATTACCTGGTTGCGATAATTTACAAAACAGCTCAGTCTCCTTATTTAAATTTTCTAAAAACGATGATCTCGTGTTGATTAATTTTGTGGATCACCGCCTCTGCAGTGAACATTTTACACCGGATACTTTTACAAACTTTCATTGAGAGGCGGCAGCTTTCCCACAAGTGAGCTGCTTATTTTTTCAAGATTTTGATTTATTTAGTTTGTGTTTTTTTATCATTCAAATTTGGTTGGGTGGTTAATAACACATTTATCTGTGGTGTGACAAATTCAGAACACATATTTAATATTGCTTTACATAGACTTTAATTATTCCAAACGTTTGACCAGCAGTGTAATGTAATGGTTTGGTCAATCGATGGTGCTTTAAAAGTGGTTTTGTTTGTCCTTGAGACATGAAATTGAGTAAATAAAGACAGTGCACACAGACTTACGGGCTGCTGTGATTCCACTGCACACACAGCGGTTTGCTGCGGTTGCTGGTCTCCAGAAGACGAAACTCCAGCAGGACCGGAGTGTCCAGAAAACCCTCCACGAATGTCTGGTTATTATACACAGAAACACTCACAACAGGCGAGTTCAACACAGGGTGCCTCGGTAACCTGCAGAGATGCGCACACATTGTTAGAAAGACAATCACACTCACATATGAGTGAGTATGTGACAATACGCACATTGTCAAGACTGTTGTTTATCTTTAGTTAAACACTTTCTAACCTGATGCCACGGCGGTCTGTGTGGTATTTCGGGGGAAGTGCGGCCCCTAGGCTTCGATAAATGAGGAGGATGACAATGGAGACTGGTGCCTCTTGCAGTGACAAAGAACGCCGTGCTGTTGTTGCTTCTAATGTCTGATTGGCCAACAGGTTCCCAGGGCCAGCAGGAGATGGAGCTGAAACTAAACACACAGATTTATTGCTCAATGCTTTTAAGCCTTGTAAGTGGGCTTAAAGAATGTGTATATGTGAGACTTACAGAAGTTGCGCTGTGGCACTAGTGCAGTAGGGGGCAGCACAACATGTGTGTGAGCATCCCAAAGTGCTTGACCTAGGAACAGAGTACTGTGATACCGTGGAAACCGTCGTCGCACATGTGTGTGGTTGTCAACGCGATCCAGAGTCATGACTGCA